CATCCTGACTGGTCAGTCTATCCACCCATCTCTGTATACCTCCTCTATCTATCTATCTATCTATCTATCTATCTATTCTCTACCCCAATGCATATCTATTTACTTCTTTCCTTAGACCCTAATTCCTCTTCCTTTCCCTCTCTCTGTCCCCTCTCTCCAAGGCCAGCAAGAAGGCTATCCTTCCCCCCAGGGCAGCTGGACTGCTCCTCTTGCCCCAGCAAAACCATTAGGCAGAAGGGGAGCTCCCCAGCTGGGTTGCCACAACCAGGAATGGCCAGGGGGTGCCTGCAGGTGCTCATGGGGCTGACAGCATCCATCCCTGGGGGACAGCATGCAGCAACATGGAAACAAGTGAGAAGCCAAAGGCAGCACTCTCTGCTCCCCGCCTTACCAGCCCATGTGGTTTCAGGGAAGCAGTTAGGCTCTTGCAAAATCTGGCTGATGACAGGCCTGAACTGGTGATGTTGGCCAGGCTCAAACAGAGACAAAGGGGCAGAGGGCAGGGGGGCATTGTGCTTCTTGTTGTCTGTCTTTTGGTCTGTCTGTCTGTCCATCCTTCCCAGAGCCCCTTGGATGTATGCATGGAGCTATCTGTCTGTGCACCCCGTGGGGTGTGTGTGTGTGTGTGTCTTTCCATCCTTCCTAATGCCCCTTGCATGGATGTCTCTATCCATACACCCCGCTTATCTAGCTAGCTAGCTAGCTAGCTCAGTGCTCCTTATATGTATGCATGGATCTCTTTATCCATACACACCCCTCTATCCATCTGTCTGTGTCTGAATGTACATCCTTCTCAATGCCCCTTCTATGTATGCATGGATCTCTTTCCATACACCCGTTCTGTCTGCCTGTCCATCCCTCCATCCCTGTTTATGTATCAATCTATCACCCCACGGACCTTTCCCGTACCGCCCCCGCCCACCCCCAGCCTCATGGTGGGGAGAGGGGCGTGGGTCCGAGCTCTGCTCGGTCTGCCGCCCCCCACACTCGGTCTCTTCCCCGCCCGCTTCCGTGTCTGCTTCGGGAGAAGCCCGACCGGAGGTGAGCGCACGAAAAAGTCCCTTCGGGCTTTTGAGAAGCGAAATTCCCCCGCCGGGGGGGAGGGCTGGGGCCGGGCTTCGGCGGCCCATAAAGGCTCCGGGGCGGGACGGCTCCCCCAGA